GTTTTTCACTTAAAGAAATAAAAGATGAAATTATAACGATTATTTTTGCAGTATGTATCTTAAAAGTATTTTGAAACTGCACCTGTTACCATGTATTACTTGCATTTGCGCTTTTTTAAATCTCTTTTTAGGGTCAGGATACAGTTACTACAGCATTAGGATTCTCCTTGTGTCTTCTTGGTAGACATAAAAACGTTCAGGTAGATTTAGATTTAGTATTGCAAGGATAACATTCGATTTTATACTGTTTGTTGATTAAGGATAAACTTTATGAAGAGACAGTGACAAAGTTGGATAAAGATGATTGCTATATAACCTACGATTCGTTGAAGGACCTGGAGTATTTGGGTCGAGTTGTTCAAGAAACATTAAGATTATATCCATCAGCGCCAGGCCTGATTATAAGTATTGGAAATCATTGGTAGGAGAAAGCTTATTCACGTCTGTTACAGGTTTTTTATTTTTAAATTCGATATTTATACTATGTCTTTGGTTATTTTAAATAACCGTATCTAATATCCTTGATAATACTAGAAAATATAATGGAATTCTTTGGAAAATAAAACACTAAATCCTAAAAAGCCTTTTGAGACCGAAAGTGCAATATTTAACTAGAAACTCATGTTAGTTTCCATTAGTGTTGTAACGAATGTCCGCATCCGCATCCGCAACTGCAGATGATTCACAAGAATTTAAATATTCGCACCATTGCTCGTACCCGCAAAATTAAACTGTTTAAAATCCGCGCTCTTAATCTAATCTGAACATTCTGATACGGATATATTTAGCAGATATGTTGATTGAATTTTAATGATCTGTACCTTCATCCGCATCTGCACGCTTAAGCTCATCCGCATCTGTTAAAGCACATGCGTTCAACTCTAGACTCTAGAGTGGAGACCACTGGTGGAAAAACGCGGTTTAGGCTCATTAATTATTATTATATTAATTAATTATGTGGAATTTTGGGATTTAGCGTATTATTAATATCTATAAAGTCTTTTACTACTAAGTTCACATTTTAGATTCAAGATATAAGAGAAATAAAAAGCTTATACTGGCCTCCCTTACTCTGAACAACGTCAAGGAATTTTTCGATTCGTTTAATAAACATACGGACAATTTAATTAGTACTCTTAATANTAAGTATTGGAAATCATTGGTAGGAGAAAGCTTATTCACGTCTGTTACAGGTTTTTTATTTTTAAATTCGATATTTATACTATGTCTTTGGTTATTTTAAATAACCGTATCTAATATCCTTGATAATACTAGAAAATATAATGGAATTCTTTGGAAAATAAAACACTAAATCCTAAAAAGCCTTTTGAGACCGAAAGTGCAATATTTAACTAGAAACTCATGTTAGTTTCCATTAGTGTTGTAACGAATGTCCGCATCCGCATCCGCAACTGCAGATGATTCACAAGAATTTAAATATTCGCACCATTGCTCGTACCCGCAAAATTAAACTGTTTAAAATCCGCGCTCTTAATCTAATCTGAACATTCTGATACGGATATATTTAGCAGATATGTTGATTGAATTTTAATGATCTGTACCTTCATCCGCATCTGCACGCTTAAGCTCATCCGCATCTGTTAAAGCACATGCGTTCAACTCTAGACTCTAGAGTGGAGACCACTGGTGGAAAAACGCGGTTTAGGCTCATTAATTATTATTATATTAATTAATTATGTGGAATTTTGGGATTTAGCGTATTATTAATATCTATAAAGTCTTTTACTACTAAGTTCACATTTTAGATTCAAGATATAAGAGAAATAAAAAGCTTATACTGGCCTCCCTTACTCTGAACAACGTCAAGGAATTTTTCGATTCGTTTAATAAACATACGGACAATTTAATTAGTACTCTTAATAAAAAAACTGGGCGAGAGTTTAATATTGGCGACGATTTGTCAATGTGTTCCATGAATATTTTGCTAGGTAATACATTTTTCAAAATAATTTTTCGCACAAAAACTACCGCACTTTTCATTTTTCTGAAAGCACTTTATTTAAGTTATGCTTTTTTTGCTATGATGCAAGCAAATTTTATCATACAACGGAAGTTACATCGCAAAATGCAACGGAAACTGCATGGTAGCATACGATGGAAACTGCGGGCACAACTCCAAACCGTCAACATTGTTTAAATAAATTTTTCATTCATCATAAGATCGTCAGACTGGTTGGACACGCACCTCCACTCTTTCATGTCCTGAGCTAAACTTCGCATTTCACTCAAGCTAGAACAACTCACATCCTTAACTATTTGCGAACAGTAATCTAATCTAGGTCTACCTTTATCCCTTCTAACTCCTCTTTCTGCCTCTAATATATCTCTGACTAGACCTTCATGTCTGAGAAGGTGTCCTACCAACCTATCTCGCCTATTTTTTATTGACTTCCTCTGTTCTCCTTTTCTTTCTAATATATCTTCATTTCCAACCTTCTCTATCCACGTTATCCTCATCATTCGCCTATAAAACCACATTTCGAACGCTTCTAACCTTTTCTTTTCCGCCGCGCCCACTGTCCATGTTTCGCATCTGTACTTTTCTTCGAATGTCTAAGTTAACCGTTCGCGAGCATAGAAATAAACAAATATGCAAATAGAAGTATAATTTCTACCGTGTGTATATAAACACAGGCAACTTTTTATCTAATAGTAAGAATACTCATTCCAACCTAAATATACCATCATCATCAATCATCATCATTCTTTAACCCCAAGAATAGTCGGACACGTATCCACAGTCCTTCATAACATGGAAAAAGTTTAGCATTTCTCGAAAGCTAGACCAACCTACATCTTTTATTATTTACTATTTGTAAACAATAATCTAATCTAGCTCTACCACTGCCCCTCTTAACTCCTGTCTTTACTACCCATACGACTCCAATTAGCCCTTCATGTCTGAAACCTTCGCCTATTTCTTTTTGACTTCCATAGCGTCATCTATATTTAAAAAATATTGAAAACGTTGTAAATAGATAATTAAAAATACCCAATAATTGTCACAATTATTTTCAGAAACTGTATTGGGATATAGTAAAGAAGATTTACGTAAGGACGCAAAAGCAATCATGGATTCTGTAGACAGGTATTTTAGCTGTTGTTACCGTTATTTATTACTAATTTCAAAAGAGTTATTATAAAATTTTCGCTATACTCAATTGGTTTAAACTTCTTTTGATTAGTCAAAACAAAAGATACTACTTAAAAAATTTAAATTGCAAACACGATAGGATTATACTTGAAAATATGGTATCAATTACGTTAAACATCTTTTAGAATGATTGAGCATTTTTAAAACGTAAAGTTTTGAATTTTAGGTTTGCAAAATATGGAGCAGAAAAAGTACTAAAATATTGGCTAAGACCATATTTCGTAACTTGGCTGTTAGGATACCAAAAGAAAATTAATAAAGATTGTGCCTTTATGGAAAATATCACCTCTCAAATAATTAACGAAAGATCTAAGAATAGAAAGCAAAATGAGGATAAATTTACCGTCTTTATTGACACGCTCTTGGATGCAAGGGATGAAAATGGTCCATGTTTTTCACTTAAAGAAATAAAAGATGAAATTATAACGATTATTTTTGCAGTATGTATCTTAAAAGTATTTTGAAACTGCACCTGTTACCATGTATTACTTGCATTTGCGCTTTTTTAAATCTCTTTTTAGGGTCAGGATACAGTTACTACAGCATTAGGATTCTCCTTGTGTCTTCTTGGTAGACATAAAAACGTTCAGGTAGATTTAGATTTAGTATTGCAAGGATAACATTCGATTTTATACTGTTTGTTGATTAAGGATAAACTTTATGAAGAGACAGTGACAAAGTTGGATAAAGATGATTGCTATATAACCTACGATTCGTTGAAGGACCTGGAGTATTTGGGTCGAGTTGTTCAAGAAACATTAAGATTATATCCATCAGCACCAGTGGTTGGAAAAGTTGCCCTAAACGATATTGATTTAGGTTTGGATTGAATGAAATTGATTTTCAATATTTTTTAATATTAATATTAGGATTTGTTTCATCTCAACATCAAAATAGATTGAGATATCTCGATGAAACAAAATCCATGTTGATCCTATGATTGTTGTCTAAAATTGTTATAAATATTTTATAAAAACGTATACAATACTTGCCGTTTCTGTGACAGATGGACAAATAATCCCAAAGGACACAAAAATGGCCATTAGCTTATATCATCTTCAAAGAAATCGAAATAATTATACCAATCCGAATGTATTT